TGGCTTGACTGTTGCCTTAATCTGTTAGTCTTCTGCACATTATTAAATCCTAGCAACATGTTTTCTATGATGAACCAAAATTCCCCCCTCTTTTCTCTTCTTACTGATTACTATATAGGCTACCTATAACTTAACTTGATTACTGCTACAATTCATCTTATTCATTCTCCTAGTGCAGGAGTTTTCAACCTTTTTAAATAAGTGTAGCCCCAGTGGCTGGTCATGGAGCCGAGGGGGAAGGGGGGAAGAGGAGGTTGTGGCGCATGGCTGGATGTGGAATGAGGCGAGGGTAGCACATGGCCAGATGTGGAGCAGTGGTGTGGGGTGGTGGATGGTGGTGGCAGCTGCCGCCATGTGCAAGCTTCTCCACCACACCACCCTTGTCTGACCGCCCAAGCAGCACCGGAGCAGCCCATATGGGGCGCCACTGCCCTCACCCTGGCCCTGCTCCTGGGAGGCGGTGGCGTGGGGTGGTGTGTGGCAGTGCTCCATCCCTGCCTGCCCATACATACCCGCTAGGGCAGGGGTTGGCAACCCCCAGCATGCGTGCCGAGCATGGTATGCGAGGCCATTTTGCTCAGCATGCCACCACCAGCCTGGGCTCTAGGCAATTGCTGCCAGGCAGGAGCTCAGGCTGCTCCCAGCAGGTAGCTGGGAGGCTGCAAGCCCTGCTGCAAGTAGCTCAGGCATCATGGCTGGCAGCAGCTACCCCAGAGCCTGGGCCAGGTGCAGCCAGGAGGCTGCAACCAGCTGCTGCCTCCTCGCCCCAGCCCCAGCCCTGATGGGTGCAGTGCTGGCACCTGCTGCATTCCCAGAACCCAGGGCCAGGAGACAGCCAGGGCCAGGGCAGGGAGGCAGCAGCTGTTTGCACCCTCCCAGCTGCAGCCGCCCCAGGTTCTGGGTAGCTGCTGATAGCCACAGAGCCCGGGCTGCTTGCAGCAGGGCTTGCATCCTCCCAGCTGCCTCCCAGTGACCCCAGACCCAACCCCAGGCTCCAGGGAGGTAGCAGGTGCCGGCAATGCTCCCCACCATGCTGTCCTCCCCTGTCACCTCTGCAGAGCAGTGTGTGGAACCCGGCGTGGCAGCGCACAGCGGGGAGGCATACGAAAACTGCCTGCAGCGCCAAGCTGCCACTGCCCTGGCCACACTTCCCCATGGTGCACAGGGGTAGCACAGGCAGCAGCGCAGGGTTGTGCCCCTCACTGCTGCCCCCACCTGCAGGGGAAGTGTGGCCAACAAATACACAAGATCAAAGGTAGTCTCAGAAGTTTTATTTATTGTCACCAGGTTTACAATTTTTAGAAAATCTGGTATTTACCAAAAAAAAGGCAACATTTATGACAATTAACTGTACTAAAATCCACTGTGGCACTGCAAAGGTCATTTATTTTTCCTGCTGTTCTGAGATAAGCTTTTCTAGTTCTTCTGCCTCTCTGCTGGCTTCCTCTGTTCTCCCACATAACTACATTTCAGGCCTTTTCTCCCATCCAGAGCTCTCCAATCTCCGCACTGTCTATACCTCTTCCCTTGTAGTCTTTTCTACAATACCACCTGGTACTCTTATAAGTTTCACCCCCACCTTCCTTTTGACGCTTCCATTTTTTCCAGTTGCCTTCCATGCTGTCCTTTACACTGGAAAACAGCTGTGCAATTATCCATTAACAATAGGAAGAAACTTCCCCTTCCTCCTTCAAGATGGACTGAAAACCCAGCTGTTCCACACAGCATGCTAGCCCTAGTGATTTTCTATAGTTAAATGCTCTCACACTTCTCCACACTCTGTTGTTCCCTCTGGTCTATAAACTTTTCAGGACAAGGTATCTGATCATTGTTTAGCACCCTCTCACTATTGTAGAAGCTGCTGTGGATTTGTAGTGCTAGAATAATAGCAAAAGTGTTACTACTTCTAGCCTTGGCACTTAAAAACACTGGAACAGTCCCCTACCGAGGATACTATTTTGACACTTCATTTAGGCTTAGCTAACTTGGTCAGTTCCCTCCTAATAATGTTTAAAGGGCTTTTGGCCCTTTCTAGAATGCCATTTTCACCTCCTCTTTGAGCCCCTTTTCCACTCCTACCATATGCTGCCATAGCATTGTGGTAACCGACTTCCTTTCTCGTGCTCGTGACAAGGTATTTAGTAGAATTCACAGATTTGTTAGCATCTGACACAGCCGCACCATGAGCATTTCTGCTATGACCTCTAGGCTTTCAGCCACCCACCCCAGTGTCCACAATACCAAAGCTGGGTGTGAGACCTGCCATCACCACCAGATCAACAACAGCCTCCCTCCAGACTACTGTGTCATCACAAGCCAAGGCTCGCCAGCTTGGTAGGAACAGCTCAACAGCAGTTTTGAACCCTTCCCATTAAATAATGCCAGCCCAACTTTATTAAAATGGTTTTACTTCAAACCTTTGGGAGAAGAGCCAGTATACATAGTGTAACATCCTTATGAAAATAAACTAGCACAAAAGGCTTGTTCACATTGTTTTCTGTAAGTTTGTATAAAAGATACAACAGACAGAACACAATCCCTTTCTCTTCAGTTCATAGGTAGCATGTCATCCCCATCTTTTCATTTCAGCCTGGGCTACCACTGTGGCCAGCACTTCTATGTGGATGGGCACTCTCTTTTCCCTCAACGGCATTCACAGGCTTCCATTTTCATCCCTTCAGTTCCCTTGAAATCTCCTTCACTGATGCCTTCATAGATCCCCCTAACTTACTGCATTAAATTCTGTCATCACTTCTACGTTACCCAACTACAGCCAAAAACGTAAAGGTAATAGCGTTATATGGGCACAATGGGAGTGGCAGTTCATGCCACAGAATCCCAAACTGTGACGCCCACATCCTTTCCTCCTAGTTCTGGAAACTGGATCAAGTGTAAGCCAGCTAGCTAAGGGCACAGCTAAAGTCATACCCAGCTCAGATCTCAGTAGCAGTCTAGCGACAGCAGGCTCACAGACCCTGCTTCTCAGCAGGTGTCACTCATGACTCTCACCTTTCCTTCAGCCATGTCATTTAGAGCATTTCCATGGCTTCTCCAGCATATATACTTCTAACTGGATTCTAATTCTGCTCCAAGGTCAATCAGCCCCCTGATTAATAGTTTCCCAACTGAATGGCTGAACCCTCTGTAACTTGCATCTGAGACCTTCAGAACAAACTGGAGTGTCCCAGGTGAGTCTAAACCAATATTCCCAGGAGGAATCATTCCAAACATTTGAAGAATTAAAAAAAAAAATCAGGACAAGAACTGAATTTTGTGCTTCGGGCGCATCCCTTTAAATCAAGCTCCAAGTGTAATTTCCAGTACCTTGTGATGCACTGTGAAAAAGGACACTTAAAATATCAACTGTAGTTGTGAAGTCTGTAGTGGCTACCGAGTCAGTCTGGAATGCGTTGCATATAAGCTAAAATATATCACAGCTATAATTTAATACCTTGCTAACCCTAAAAAGAAAATTCTCTGTGGGGCATATGTTAAGCTTGATATGTTTTTGTGTTAACTATACCAAGGACTAGATTTTTTTTCCTTACATCTCTTACTGTAAAAATATTAGCCTTAGAGTAACTTCAAACAGTGACTATTTATGGCACTCCTGTTTATGGCAGTTCATAAAAGGAAAAATGAATTGAGCAAGTGATAACAAACTCTGACTGAACAAGTGTATGCTATATAAACATTAAGCAAGGTTCTAGCCACACCTCAGATATACCTTACAAGTGTGTAGCTCCTCCCTGAATATACATGCATTGTCCAGGTATCTAACTGCAGCATGAAGCTTACGTTTAGTATCATGGGAAGAATATTTCAGACTGTAATACAACGTGCCTTTTCCCAAAATCAGGGATGAGTCTGGAACTGTTCGATCTGACACACCCATTCATAGATCTTGCGCCATAGGAGCCATTCTAACACTTACTTATTGAAATAAGCAAGAGGTTCGATATAAAAAAAAAGAAAAAAACTGCGTCGACAACGTCTATAAAAATATGTGTTTTGATAGATTCCTAGGAACTGGTTAATGGAAAAAGGTAGAAGAATAATTGATTCTCTGCCAAAGCACCTCAAGGCAGTTTCTATTACTATGGGACTCTATTAAAGGCATAGCAATTTCCCCCAAACACTGTTGTGCCTGCACCACATAAAAAATTAAGAGCATTTTGTCATTATGGGCATGTGATTTTTATTTTATCATATGTGATGTGCTTTCATTTGTGAAAACAAGGGATTTATTCCCATATTTTCAGGCAGACATCAGAACTATAGAAAGCTGACACTGAAACAACTGAATTGCCCAGCTCCATCAAACGTCGTTGTTTGCTTGAAAATCTTACCAATTAAGCCCAAAATAAAAAGAGAAAAAAGAAAAAGGAAAAAAAGCCCGCCAAAAACCTGAAAGCAACCCCCCCAAATCTTTTAAATATAGTTTAGAAACATGGAGCGTTACTATAAAAACCTCTCCACATTTCATCATAGAAGTTGAATTTCCTGCCTACCCTAGCTTTTGCATTAAAATCCAGTATGTAATAGCCTTAGTTCAGCTTGTGTGATCCTAAGAATACAGCTATTGTATGCCAAGAGGGGTTCCCCCCCACCTCCTATAAACTGTCGGTTTTTGCAAGAATGGTAGAGCAATGTACATACATAATGGTAGTTTCTATTGTTGAATTTGAACAGCTCTGCTAAAGATCAATTCCTTATCATACTTGTTAGTTTAAACTTTGAGTAACAGTTTAGTTCTCAAAGTACTTTTAGCAGCTGTACGTTACCAAATACTGGTTAGCTTTTAAGTAAAAAGAAAAACAGCACAGGTTGCATTTCTGTCTCAGTTTCACCGGAGAATAACTTAAAAACAATAAAACTTGATTCAAAGAGACATGCTCATGTGGCAAAGAGGCTGCTAACTAGCTGGCTGGATGGTTGCCGCTGTCCGAAGCAGAAAACTTAATAGCAAATGTTAGCATTTTCATTCATACAGTACTTACGTGTCTGTGCTTCACAAAGCTTCAGAAAACATAATCCAAAAGTTGCCCACAACAAGAACTTGACCATTGTTTCCTCAGAGTTACTTTTGCAAAAAACTCGACAGATCCTTGCAAGCTGCACAAAGACAAAAAGCCCTAACTCTTGTTGAGCCTGCAGTCAATGACTCTGAAGTTTGCTGCAGTTTTTATTCCAAAGAATTGAAGTCGTGACATAACAGGGAGGGGGAGCTGAAAGTCACACCCATGCTGCACAAAAAAGAAAAAGTGACTGAGCAAAGGGGAGGCTACTACTTCTGAGTAAGCAGCAATAGCTGACTTCTAGAGGCACTAAATCACTTTTACTCAGAGCACTACAAGTAAAAGTCAGCTTAGTGCTTTTCTGGTAGAAATTTTTTGCAATCTTTCTTGAATCAGCTCAGAAAGGAACTGTGTTATCAGCTTCCACTTCCACAGCCTATATTAAAAATAAGAAAATAAAAACATATCTGTGTTACCAAAACCCATCAAAATGTCTACAACTCTCTGAATATTTCTAAATAACACTTTTTTCTTTCCCCCAGCTCTCATTTCATCACTGATGAAAAAACACTAATCTCTCATATCCATGTGGGGCACAGGTCATGGGTTTTCTTCACACTAGGTACATCTACATATACTAGTAACGTGCAGCAATAAACTCCAGTGCATAGGGTGCCAGAATTTATTGCTCCAGGGTGCCACATCTTCACGTGCACCCAAGACTGCAGCACGCTGAGCTGGGTCAAAGCAGCTCCGGCTGGCAGGGGGGTCAGCCTGCCAGTCCAGGGCTGCTCTGACCCAGCTCAGCACACTGCAGAGAGGCTGTCTGGGGCATGAGGGTGCTCCAGTGAAGAGCTAGTTGGCAGGCAGCCCCTGCACTGAAGCACCCTCATGCCCCAGCCAACCGCAACAGCATCTACACTTGTGTTGCTGCGGAGTAAAAACTCTGCTGTAGGTTAGTACTTGTGTTTGCAAGTACTAACCTGAGGTGGAGTTAATTAGTTTACTCCATCCTAATAGCACTGCATGTGTAGAGGCTGAGGCATTTACTGAGCAGTTAATTAGGCAACTCCGCAGTAAATGTCTTGGGTAGACATGCCCACTGATCCCTTTATATGGCTAGGGAGTTCAAAAAGCTGGAGCCTGAACTGATTCAACCTTTATGGGTTAGTCTAACCTGGCTAGGCTGAACGGGCTTGTAACTGCACAGACATGTGGGCACATGCCTGCAGTTGCTCAGGCCAGGAGCTGGGGGTGCTAGAGCCCACCCTTGACTGCAGGGAAGCTGTGCTGGGGGGGCATGGCCAGTCCTGGCTGAACTGGCCAGAGAGGGGTTTAAATCCCCCCTCCCTGTCCCACTAGCAGGGACCTGATCCAGGTCTTCCGCCCCCTCCCCACTTTCGCTGCTGCAGCCACGAGCCAGCATGGCCCCTGAGGAGGGGGGAGGGTATTTCCCTCTCCCCCCACTGCACCCAGGGGACCACGACCACAGCCAGGTCTGCCTGCCCCTGCCGCTACCAAGCAGCAGAATATGCCCCCTCCTGTCCCTTCTGCCAGATGCCAGAGGGAATAACCCTGGTCCCTGCCCCCCCACCCCCTGCACCCAAGGGGCCCTGCCAGCCAGTGTCAGGTGGGGGCTGGCTTGGGAGCAGGCTTCCCAAGCCAGCTCTGAGGTGGCGGCAGGGCCCGAGCCCAGCAGCCACCACTGCCACCCCTTGGCCCTGTGCAGCACCTGGGGCTGCAGCCTGACAAGCAACTGAGGGCTGGCTGGGGCAGTGGGGCTGTTCTGCCCCCCTTGGCTCCAGCTGCCACTGCCATGGCCACACCATGCTGTGCTGGCTGGGGGAGGGTGGGAAGCTTCTGCCCCATGCATGGAGCTCCAGCTCCAGCTCCCGGACGCCTTGGAAGGTGCTGGGGTGAGAGGCTTCAGTCCAGGGGGCTGTTGCCAGAGCTCCATGTGTGTGGCATAAGCCATGGTGCTGAAGCTTCTCCCTCCCCCCGCACTGCCTCCCAGAGCAGCAGG